ACATGCCAAGGTCCGACGTAAAAAGTAATACAAAATTTAAAAAAAAAAAAAAAAAAAAAAACAACCTAAGAAAGATTTTGATACCAAATTAAAATCAACATGAATGAATAACAAAGAATAATACTCATTAAATTTAAAGTCAGTGTTAACTGGATCAAAAATACATATGAAGCGCTGGAGAAAAAAGAATATGATTATGTTGTAATATAAAATAATCTTGTTCACGTATTTTTTTATGAAAAATTACACATAAATTTATCCATAAGACAGTAAAATTAAATTTGCATGGTTCCTACTATAACATTTTTTTTTTCAAACACATGTTTTTTAAATCCTTAATAATCTATTCTCTTCTCCATTTTCAAACATACTCTAGACATATAGAATTCAACTTTGTACAAGAGCATGGGAATAGTGACTGATTATAAGTAAAAAAATTATATAGGATGGACATTCTAAATATGAAGTAGTTGTTTAAGGTTTATATATAGAATAATAATAAATTATAACTTTTTATACAATTTTACTAAAATAATTCACCTCTCAATATATTATTTTGAATTGTGATATCTACTCTCTTAATAAATGTATTATGTGATTAAATAATTTATGAAATAATAAATTAGAAAAAAATTAATATTATGTTAAAAAGTAAAACATCATTCATTTTTTGATCTGATTGAGAGAATTTATATTTATTTTTCTTTATTAATAATTTATTTTAAAAATAAAATAAAGATAAAGATAAAAATTTGCTTAATCTCACGTGAAAGAAAAAACTTTGAAAACAATGAAGAGAGACTCATAAAAAATACTATATATTAAAATATTTAAAAAATTAATATAAAAAATAAAGAAAATAAATTGAAAACATAAGAATTAATAATCTCTTAAAAAATCACGTTAAAAGAATAGTTTTTTTTCAAAAAAAAAAAGCCTACAAATTAAAAATATTTTCATCTTAATATATTAATATAGAGAGAGGAAATAATTAGGCATGGCAACCCCGCCCCTGATGGAGGTAAAATCTTGGTAATCATCCTGGTTCAAGTTTTCTCACCTGCCCCCACTCATGCCTTTTTTTTCTTTTAAATAAATTTGAACAAACTTTTAAAAAAATAAAAATAAAGTAAAATAATACAAATTTTTACATATAAATATTTTTAATTTTAGTTTTTATATATATATAAATAATTTTTTAATTACATTATTAAACGGGACAGGGATTAACATCCTGTCTCCTAATTTTATTAATTGAGAAAAACTCAAACTCAATAAACATAAGTTTTTTGGGTTTAAATTGGGACACGTTTGGGCGGTACACACAAGACCAAGTTAAATTGTCATACCTAAAAGTAATAAATATTTTTTTATAGTATTTTCTTTTTATGTAGTTGAGATTTTGTTTCAACGATTAGATATTCAAAATCTTGTTAGTTATGGGAAAAGTTATACCTAATTAATACACGCTTTGTGATACCCAAAAAATTTCCGTGTTCTTCATCAGGCGGCTAAAAAAATTCAATAGATCTGTACACAAAATTTATAAAAAAAATAACCTAAGAAAGATTTTGATACCAAATTAAAATCAACACGAATCAATAGCAAAAAATAGTATTCATTAAATTTAAAGTCAGTGTAAACTGGATCAAAAATACATATGAAGCGCCAGAGAAAAAAGAATATGATTATGTTGTATCAAACAGAATAAAGAATGATTTCAACGCTCCTAGCAGCCGCAGCAGCCTCTTTGACTCCGGCGGCGGAGCGGCGGGCGTTGGCGTCGGCGACGGAGGGAGGGTGGTAGTACTTGCGGCCTGTTTGGGGACAATTGGAGTGAAACCTAGCAGCGATCCTGACTCCTTGGTCAAGGATCTCGACGAGCTTTCCCATGCTTTGAATGGAATGACGCACGCTCTCTTTCTCTCTTCTCTTTCTTCCTTTCTTTCTCTCTCAGAACTTGTTTGAGAGAAAGAGAAGGGCGTGTTACAAGAAGACGAGGGACATGAAATAGTGGGTGTTTGTTTGTGGAGTGGGGAAAACAGCGTGGCTTTGCCGCATATATAGCTGTGTCCCACGCACTTTCAATTCTGTTTCCTGCCTCTCCGTTTTGAATTATTATTCTGTTTACTGCTTCCGTTACGACCGCGTTTTGCATATGTCCAACGCGTCTAATATTTGACCAATTGTCTTCTCATTTGTCTTTTCTTTTGAACTTTCTTTCCCCTTTTCCACTGCCCACATTTATGGTAATTAACATTCTAGAATACCAAAATTCCTTTTTCTGCTTCAAACATTCAACATATATACGCACAATAATTATTTATTTCATATAATTATATTTATAACAAATATTTTTATATAATTCTTTTGGTAACAAAATATTTTTATTGTAGTTAATATTGAAAGTGGATAATTACTTTTTTTTAAATACTTTTCCCAATTTTATTCTTAATAGATAGTAGGAAAAAATATTAAAAATATAATATAAAGTTACAAAGGTGTTAATAAAAGTGAAGATGTTAAACCATATTTTCTTTATATATTGTAATCTTGATACCCATTCGTAATACAAATTATTAAACTAGTTAATACTATACAAGGAAGGGATTACCTTATTTTATTTCTATAAAATCCTATTCTATAATTAACAATTACAGTATATAATAATATTTAAGGAAAAAATTATTATTCATATATTTATAAAATATTTATTAATAACGTTAAATTTTTGTACCTTTGTATACTTTATTTTAATAATATATTTTTGAACATATATAGATTGACATAAAAAATAATGTATTTAATAAATATATATTATATTTATTAAATAAAATATTTTATATTACTACCAAAGTTAATTATATATGATGTTTATTAAATAAATTAACAATATATAAAGAAGAAATCATATTATTTTTTATTATTGTAAATACAAGGAAAAAAATCAGTTTAGTCATATATTTATAAAACTATTATATTAATTTTTGTGCATTTAACTTTAATGATATATTTTAAATGTATATAGATTGATATGAAAAAGTAATATGTTTGATTACTTAATCTTCTATTTAACATATAACATATAACATAAAACTAAAAACAATGATTTTTAAATTTAGAGGATGAAAAACATATAATATTTAAGTGGTTAACATATATATATAT